CACACTGTTGTTCCCAAGCCATAGTTTTTGTAGACTGTAATACTTTGATTGAAATGTTAAAGATCCCAGCTGGTTGTTAGACAAGTCCAGTTCAGATACTGAGGTGCTGATGTTTGCTGGTGCCAAAGAGAGCCCAGCAGATGAACAGTTTAGATGTAAAGATGGCTGACAAGTACAAAAGTCTGGACAGGAATCGAGTGGAGAGGCATTCAGGAATCCACAGAAAAGGAGAAGAACGAGCACCAGTTTGGGGCCTGGTGACACGGCCATCACAGTCCCGGTTAAAGTAGTATACTGCTTCACTATTTGGAAAAAAATATATGTTATTGGCATGAAAGTCAAATATAATCATCATCTATGAAGAAGGCTCACCTGCTTCAGTCTTGTGACACTTGAAACACAGAACACTGCTTCAACTGTCCAAAGTCTGAGGTATTTTTGCTGCGTCTTAGCTTTACAGGCACCTGCCCAAAGATGCCATTCTCTGCTCCTTCTAATCATTTACACTGTTAGTTAATGTCTTACTGTCATTGTTTCCCTTGTGTATGACAGATAGCAGCTCGTTTATGATGGAGAGCCCTGCCCTCACATTCCCCACGGTAATAAAATACATAATGTAGGAGTGCCATATGATTTTAAAGGGCTGTATAAATGCCTGGACATACACTCAAACTAGTGATAAGAGGTTCAACACAGGAGCACTGTTTCAACATGTTTCTTTATTAAAACAAATGCATTTCAAGAGAAGGCTCTTCACCTTCTTGGTTTTCCAGTCCACGCATAAAGGCAGTAAAACATTATTTTGATACATCTTAAACAGCGCTGTTAAAAAACAGACAATATAAGGCAAAACAAACTCAAAACATTTATTGCACAAAAATCCAGATCACTCAATAAAAGCTTTCAATTATTATTTCAATCTCAACCTTAGTGCAAACACACCTGTATTATTTACTGTAAAAAAGCTTAAGCAACAGATGCAAGAAATTATGCTATATTTATATATATTCATTATAATCTCTTTTAAATCCATTGGCACGTGCATGATAGAATGGTGCAAAAGGAAACCTGTTCTTTTGTATACTTTTATATAATGATTTATATTATGTTAGTGTCTTTACACTTATCCAAAACAGCTGCCAGAGCAAGTACGATGCCATACATCTCTTCATTGTTGTATCTAATACTGGACAGGAAATGAACATTGCTTCAGGCTCAACCCAGTATGACATTAGAGATAGGAGTGTTAAGTGCTGCCCTGTTGCTTCATATGCAAATAATTTATCACAGGTACAAAACAACAATACAACTTCAATATTAAACTGTGATTACCTCTGGGGCCAAATGTTATCTTTCAAAGACAAAATCATGAGGAATCTTGATATCAAGGGAGAATTTCATTTAGTATCCCATAATAAAGTTTGAATACTGAGTGGTTTATGCACATTAAGCAGCACATTTCAGTTCAGTTTAAAAATGAGCCTTTTTACAGGGGTTGTCAGAGGTTTGGCAGCCCATATTTGGAAATTTCACCTGAACTCGAAACAGCATCCCATCCGCACACATACACAGTTTGTACCGCTCCAGACCCTCGTCAAAATACACGTCTCCAGCTGAGTTTGGGATTCGAGTGGCATTGAACATGACAGATCCATTAAGTACAATGCTGTTCTCCTACAAAGAGAAAAGTAATTTTGACTTGTTTGCATCATGTTCAAGTTTTTAAATAAATAAGCAAAAAAAAAAAAAAAACTGATTTGGCCACATGGCCAAAATTGAGAACAGTGTTGGGTAATGTTTGAGAAATATTTTTGAAAATAATACATATACAACCAAAAATCCCTATCTAATAAAAACATAAAAATATGTCACTTTTTTAACAGTACCAACACCAATAAATTATAAGAGCCACAACTTAAATCATTTTACAAAAATATTTCATGGCCCTATCATGACAGTTGCTTCAATCTGTTTTAATGAAAAAGTTGTTTTGTTGTTATGATTTTGGAGAATTTCATACTCACAGCTCTAAGCTCGATGCCTCCGCCCATTTTAAACTCCACAGTGCGTCCCATAATATTCACTCCCTCATTGCCGCGAATTATTGCCTTTCCGTCCCCTTTGATGTTCAGGTCAGAGGACGCGCTGCTGGTGATCTGTATTAGAGATAAAATACACTGGTTAAAACACAGCAGATAGCCTTCTGTTACCTGATATTGAAAAGTGTAGAATTCCTTTAAAAACAGCACTATCCCAAGAGGCAAAGGTCGGGAAATATTGTCATATTACTAATCAGTAATATGAGTAACTTAGATAACCTCTTCATTGTTGCATCCTGTTAATGTTTGGGATGTAGAAACCATGAAAATGTTGACCTCCTTTGACCTCTCATATAAACTGATACCCAGACACAAAATTTGTACTGAAACTTGATACTCATTGGAGCAGATATCAACACTGAAAAATCACATTAATAGGACAGAATTAGACATTGATCTATATCAGAATTAGTATGAGACCACTTTTGTTTTGTTTTTAAAATGACATAATATTTGTTTAGTTTGACTATAATAAGGTATTGATAATGATGTCAAGTACCAAGGTTTTTCAGAGCATAGTGGTCTGTTGTCCAATACAGTAGAGTGTATCTTTGATTAAGCGAATTTATCTATTACAATAAAGATATCTGAAAAGTCCTGGCTGCATATTATGCCTTTGAATATACAAGAGACATACCCTTTCTGTGGAGGCCTTTTTGACACTGAGGACCTTAACACCTTTGGGCAGGTTGAACTCATGATTTTCAAAGTCGGTGCTGAAAAATGTGTTTTGTGTTCGCGGGTCTGTGAAGGAAATTCCAACGTCACTGACAACTGAGGTCTTGTCCTTCTCTACACTCAGCTTGGTAGTTCCTTGTTGAAATACAACCTGAAAACAAATAATAATTGAAACATAATTAAACAAATAATCTAAACAAATTGAATCTTATTATATATGTCTGAAAATCCTTACAGGGTTATTGTTGCCGACAATCACCAAATCCTTGTCTTTGCGGCCTCCTATGGTGCTCTTGTGCAGTGGGTGAACAATGCCCATGTCAGCTTTTTGTTTAAATCGAAGGAGACCAGACTCGTGAAACTCCATACTGTCACAACCGTTTGGCCCAATTCGAATCACAGTCCATATCACCAGTGTTATCTAGGACAAAAAATGATCAGCTTTTAAATATCTGCAACATATTTTAATTCTTTGTTTATGGGCTCCTTCAGCGGCTACTGAAAGCTGAAAACATTTAAAGCTGACATTGCTTGACATTTTAAAGGTGCACTATGTAACTTTTTGATGGGAGGTCTGCTAACTTGTCTCCATGGAGATTTTCTGTATTTCTGTTCCTGGATAGTTGCACCATATTGAACTTGCTTAGTTATCCTACTTCGTACACCACAGATCTGACTTGTAACTTGGCTTGGTGGCCTCATCTGCTTGTCTCCATGGAGATAGAAAAATGTAATGCCATACTGTGTAACATTCCAATATCAGCTCCATGGGGACAAGCAGGTGATGAGCCCTTCGGCAAAAAAGTTACTTGCACTTTTATTTAACTTTACCTGTGTGCAAAATAAAATGTTGATAAGATATAAGTGAATAAAGAATATTGGTTTGACTAAACACATCACTGACACTTGTGTCTTAAATACTTACAATAAGGTTTATTAAGGCAAGGAGGAAGAGCAGAACGATGATGCAGACAGCCATGTTTCCTTTACGTCCTCTTAGTCCGGTTTTATGAAGACGTTCTTCTTCAATGGGGATGTATCCTGCTTTGAAGTTACTGTTGTGCTCCTTGTTCACATTGCGCCTTTCTATGGCCTTCTCCCTCATGGATTTTTTCATGGGCCCATTTGAACTCTCCTGAAACAAAACAATAGATTTATAATAAAATTGAGAGGCTGGCTTTAGAGAGATAGCACTGAGATTGTCTGGACATGTAGTTGTTACAGAAAAGGTAAACACAGTGGGTAAGTCAGAAGATACCGTGAGAGAAGAAAATTCAAAGTATACTGGATGGATTGACATAGTTAATGTATGGAACAACTGAAAGGTATTAAACTAAGTCACAATACAGAATTACAATACAAAGTTACAATTTAAATCAGTGCATTACTGACATTAAGACATCCATAGGCATTAGGGAATGTGAAACTATACACGCTACTGTCAATGAATAATTATTACTGTGCAGATCATATAAGGTATTGGCTTGTGCAGTCTGTGTGGTCCATTTGAGCTGTACTGGAATGTAACTGTGTTAAATGCCCCCAGCCTGCCTGTCTGTTGCCATAACTAAAAATAAACTGCACTCGTTTAGCACGAGAAAATAAGATATAAAATCTGAGGACACTTCTGCTTGTATTTTTGTTAAATTAGCTTTATTTTTTGCTTCAGAGTAAATCAAACTGACAAGCAAAAAACAAACGCAATGCCTTTTTATGTTTATTCTGCCTTCATGCAACTACATAACGGAGGCCAGTGTTTATTACCCAGACATTACCAGAGGGAAATCTAGCTTCCTGCAGCAAAATCTACAATACTAATGGTATATGTTATTCTTTATATTTATAAAGTAGCTTAGGCAGACAACAATAAACCAGGTATAAATGCAATAATGCGAGAAATATTGTAAATAACGGACCTGTTCCGACGCCATGTTGACCCTCCCTCTCCTGCAGTGACAGGACGATACCACTGTGCGCCTTTACAGGGTCACTCCAAGAATACATGGCATTATTAATCAATATTAGATTAATATGACAAACAAATATACGGGATTAAATCTGGGACGGCATTTAACTGTTTATAGCTCTACTCTTTACAATTACGCTATTATAAACAGTTAGTAAATAAGTTCTAATAGTACGGTCCAAGATCATTTAACCAATGACGGGAGGTTCCTAAAATAGTAAAACAAGGCCATTCATATTTTCCATACGTAAAGTAACCACAAGAGCCCAAACAAGGAATTGAACAAAATAGTAAATAAAATTGCTTTTTTTTTTCATATGTAAAATATATCTTACGTAGCCCACGTACTGAGAAAACTTGACAGGACTTTTTCACACTGCCCATAATTGCACTGACTCTTTTTATCATGAAAAAGTTCAAAATTTCATGAAGAGAGTTGCATTTTTCGTTCACGGTTTCAATATTTGGTTCGAGACTTGCCATAGATTTATTACAAGGTTTTATATTGTATTACTTATTTTTCGATTTTATTTTGACTTGTCCATATACATTTATATAATTTTGTCTAATTTTACACTTGTCTCTTGCTATCTTTTTGCAAGAATATATTATTATTTATTATTACATATTATTTTTTCTATTTGTTTGTGTATCGTGTAAAGTTTGTCTAAGTCTAAGTCTAATGATGACTGGTGATGAAAAAATGTGTTAATATTTTATTATAGAGTACTTAAAATGTCAGATTTGGAGTTGCCCATTTCTGTTTACCTCTGTTTTAGGCCCTCTTCATTCACAGTCCAGCTATAGTGTACAGGTTAATAGTGGACTAAACTTAGCTAATATTCATTGTGGAAACATCATATGTGTTACAGGACCACAGGTTCAGACTGTTTGGTGTCTATTACCAGTGTGACATTACAATTACATCCCCGGAAGAAGCTGCAGAACAAGGACTAACATCAGTGAAGACGGTCAGCGGTCTCTTCATATAAACCCCAGCTCAGGACCAGCTCGTCTCTTCTTCTGGTTGCCACAACTGAGGCGGTGCTTGGCGTGAAAGGGGCAGGTGAAGAAAGTTATCAGGACAGGATTTTATTTTATTTTTTTACAAGTCTGCCCTTCTCTCTGGCTTAAATCCATGCACGCATATTTTTAACCTCAAAAGGACATACATAACATACTGTTGTTTTTATCTTGAAGGGCAATGGCTGACACTTTGAGGAGACTGACCAACACCTCTTCATTCAGTGTTTTACAGGACAAGCTCGAAACCTGGCACAGTGACTACCACGTAAGTTCATCATGAATTAATAATGAGCCACTTCTGCACTTTGATCTGTTATAGTATAACACTGGGTGATGTGTTAACAGTAAATGGCCGATACCCGTGGCTAATAGGCTAATGCTGCAGTAATTTATGATTGTCTGTTTACGCTATGGCTTTACGTGTTAGCTTGAATTGTTGCGCAACCACAGCGGTGTTGGAGTTAATTAACAATATTTTCTAATATATGTTTTAAATACTGTGTACTGAACACGACTTATGGGTTTAACGTTACAAAATCACAGTGAAGGAATGTTTCATTAGCCTTGATTTTTAGCTCAAGTTTGGTTGCCATGGACGCCAGTCACCATGACTACCGTCGCAGTCGTACCAAAGATGTTTTACTGCAGCGCGAGGATAGTTCAAGCCCCTTCACTTCCTGTTTGGTTTGCTGGACACAATGGAATTAATATTTTACAAGATGCTGCAATAGATTCTGCTGCCAAAGCCCCATTAACTACGGTTTAACAATACAAGCATTGTGGCAAAAACTTGAATAATAGATGTTATGCCTACTTATATTAACTAAACACAATGGGGAGTTTTTGTAGATATTGAAATATTAAAGGGCCTTCACTATATCTATTTTCATTTAAATTCATTAATTGTCAAGGATATCTCCTACTCACCCACCTGATCATATTTTTTACCTTTAGGCACTCTCCTGTGACCAGAATTTGAACCGATGCTGTGAATTGATTGAGCTAACCGCGAAAATCCAAGGTCAACTCTTTGCTATTCTCAACCTGACAGCTGCAGAAGGTAGCCATAAGCCATAAGTGCTACAAAATATTGGTTTAATTAAACAAATTTTAAATTTATAATTGTTGGTTTTCAGGTGGACAGTATGGCGGAGTGGATACCCTCAAATCACGTCTCCTGCCATGGCTTGGAAGCTGTTTTTCAATGGCAAGACCTTCTGTTTCTGATGACACCAGTTTACAGCTTATGCAGGTCACAAGACACTGAGTATACATTTCAAAATATAAAAAAACAACATGTCACAATAGATAAATATTTTCCATGTTTTGTATTGTTCTTAGGACTCAATGGAGAAAGACAGGAAACTCCGGGAGCTTTCTTTCTCTCATGACAGTGACATACAAAAGATGGAGGCTCAACTGTGCTCCACACGAATACAACTAGACTCAGTCAGAGCGGAGTAAGTTGGACAAATATTGTCTTATCTTGTCTTTCATCATCCTTAATGTTATGTATTTAAAGTTGTCATGATTCATTTTGTTTTTGTATTTATTTATTGTTTTGTAGATTGGCTGAAGCTCACAATGAACTAGATGATACAAAAAACAAATCTGCAACCACTTTGCTGGCAACAGAAGATGAGATTATACAACTTAGAGCAGAGTGAGTGGATATGACTTTTGAATATTCATACAGTTGGTTAGTGGGTAATCCTCTGTTTATATTTGTGTGACTTTTTACAGCTTGCGTGCGGCTCGTGATGAAGTGGAGATCTATAAGAGGAAGCTGAGCGCCATTGATGACTACGAGCGACAGATACGATTACTTCGGGATGAAGTGTCTTACCTCACCACAGAGAAGGCCATGCTGCAGGAGAGGTGCTTTAAAATAAAAAGACAAATTATATTTAGGCAGTTCAATCGGACAATCAAACATAATTAAAATGTAAAAATCAAAGGTGAATAACATTGGTTATTCTTTAAAAACAGCATATTTTTGTTTTCATGCACATTTTCTATCATCCATGTACAGCAGCAATCAAAGCCTTTGTCAGTTGGTTATGACTTTAGTTATGGTTTCATTTAAAAAAAGTCACGAGGCCTGAAAAACCCAATAGAAATCCTACATGGATCTTTTCAGAAGTCATTTTATGTCTGAAATGTCTTGTACAGGCTGGTTCGGAGTCGCTCCCCCAGCCCTTTGCCCAGACTGAGCCGCACGTCCAGTCCCATCCGGAGTGAGTCTCCGACCAGGGCCCAGCTCACGCACTCATCCAGACACGCTCGCCTCGTGTCCCGCTTCAGTGACCTCTATGCCGTGGAGAGACTGGAGGCACAGACCATACTGCGACGCTATGTGGACGATTTAGAGATGGTCCAAAAAATCATCTTCATTGCTGCTGTGGTATGACTCTTGTTATTAAGCAATATTATTAAGCAACTTTTGACCACTGACAGGTGAATAACACAGCATCTTGGAAAAGTGAAAAGTGTAGGCTGCTTGATCTGTGAACCTCAGAGTTTGTGTACTTTACGCATCTATGCCTATGCTGTACCTGACTAGCTTATTGTCTAATGAACCATATTAATTTTTTCATCTTGTGTGTAGGAATCCTTCAGAGTAACGAGAATGGCGTACCGTCAGTTCAAACTGCGAGTGAGAAAAACTCTCGCTTCAACTCATTTTGGTCCTGAGAGTTTGGAGGATGCTGCTGTCGACTATATCGTCCGAAATCTTGACCTATATGATGTACAAGCCAGTGTAAATGTATGACCAACATCACATTGACATTTAAAAAATCATATCACGATAATTCACTGGTTTTGTTTTTATCATTCAGGATGTGATCAATGCCATGAATGTGAATCCTCGCATCTCGTTCCCTCCGGAGACAGACTTTGTGCTCATCAGTACTCTGATCAGAGAGACCTGTAGAGTGGCTTTTGCCATGCAGACACTAGAGCCACCTCTTGATGTGGCCTTCGCAAGTGATGGGGAGCTGTACAATGAACTCAGGTTGGTGCAGACACGGGTCTCAAACTGAAATCCAAGTACCTCAGAAAAAATATTTATTTGTGCACTACTTAGGATCTAATCGGGACCATGTTACAGCTGACCCAGAGTAACCCATAGTGTAACTGGCTTAGTCCTGGTTTAAAGAGTTTAATCAGGTTAATACTGGTTTGGTTTAAGCTTTTAATTTCAAACTTGTAGATGGAAGCATGAACACATTTTCCCAACACTAGTTTGTAGCAATGTAGTAAACTGCACAGTCACAGAGCCACAAAAATAAAAAAATAACATAAAAAATATGATGTATAAATAACAGGAATATAACTAACTTAAAACATTTCATCCACTTCAGGTATCGTCGCAGCTATGACTCTGAGTTCTCCGCTCCTCTGGTCCTGTACCATGTGTGGCCAGCTCTAATGGAAGGAGACATTGTAATAGTGAAGGGTGAAGCTGTTACTCGCAGAGGTGCTATGGTAAGAATTATCCTGTTACATAATTTATCTGATTTGACATTTACTTACTGTATGTCTTGTAACTGTATTGTTTCAGTGGACTAGAAGCCGCAGCAGGAGTAGGAGTGCCAGCCCAGTGCGCTCCAGATCTCTCAGTCCATCTCGCAGCCTTGTAAGTTTCAGAAACATTTATTAGCCCAAAACAAAACAAAAAAATATATGTTTTAAGTACATGGAAATGAACCTCAAATGTATTGCTTTCTAAATGCACACCAAATGACCAAAGGGTATGTAACTGAAATGCACCAGAAATACAATAGTGGTCAAATTTACTTAAAACTTAAAACGACAAACAATTTTTGTTTATAGGCATATAACAGCCGAAGGAGCCTCTCACCTGAGCAACTGAGAGCTAGCCACTTGTGATCACCAACCTCTCTTGTCTGCTGTATGGAGTATTACCAAACCACAAAATAATAAAGTGGAATTCTGATTCTTGTGCATAAGGATTTACATCAAAGTTGCAGCATGTTTATGACAGCTTCCCAAAGCTGGCAGCTAACAGACCAAGACCTTGTTTACTTAATTCATCCGTGTTTGGTATAAGATGTGCAGTGATTGAGTTTTATAGTTTGGTATTTTCATTCCTGCACAGTAGCACTTTTAGTAGCATTTAAACACATACCTTTACAAACCTTAATTTTCCTCATTTATAGACCTTAGTATGTAGCTTGTATAGTGTTAAATGGTGCTATTGGTCAGTTTGACTTCCTCCATGACTGTGTTCTTGTGATGTTTAGTTTAGTGACATGATGTAATTTTATATATACAAAGATATGATTTTGGTGCTGTTTTTCTTTCATAATTTTGTGATTTTTTTATGATTACTATTATTTTGGAAATGAATTACATTCACAGTGTGTGTGTGTTTTTTTTTTTTTTTTTTTTTTTTTTGTAGCACATAATAAAATTTTATCATTTGTTTTATTAGTTCTAAAAGTTTTAATGATTAAATATTTTGCTTGTTTGTGATATTTTCTAATAAATAAAAGCACACCTTTGGCAGGAGCGTACAGTTTGTACAGTATTTAAGTTTGTAAGTTTTTGGTGCAGTTCTTAAACTGGACAGCAGATGAAGCCAGAGCACTTGTATTCGTCTAAAGGTCACGGCCGGGAGCGCGAGTGCAGATGTTATAGTTATGCAGAGGTGTATGGCAAGCCAAAGTGTTCACATTTACGCATATATTTAACGCGTTTAACACCTTATTTGCGTCAAATAATGTGTTTCATATTGTCCTCCTTTGACAATTGTACACCAACAATTAAATAATCAGTTGCTTAATGAGCGACATACTGAAAAGATAAATACGTTCAGGTACACGACAACCTTTTTAAACTTGATAGATGACAATTTACACAGTGTAAGATTTATTTTTTAAAGAGTAAACATTTGTATAGGGAAATCGGTGTTGGACTGTTCTGGACTCTTTGTCTTGGTCAGTGATTGGCTGAAAGCACTTTAAATTCATTGACTGGGAAAAACAGTGGGAGGAGATCATTATCATATGTAGAATAATTCGACGCGTCAAATAAGGTGTTAAACGCGTTAAATACGTGCGTAAATGTGAACAGTCTGACTTGCCATAGAGGTGGAACCAAATCATTCTTTTGCAAGTCTCAAGTAAGTCTCAAGTCTTTGACCTCAATTCCGAATCAAACTCCTAAGTCAAAACCAAGCAAGTCCAAGTCAAGTCCATGTCGTCTGCTTGAGCTTCAAGTCATTTCATGTCTTTAAACCAAAGTACCAAATATAGCTTAGATTTTTGCAATTTATTTGACTTTTAAGATAAATTGTACTTATAAAGTCATAGAATATTTATATATGAGTATTTATAGAGTATATAAGAGCTGTAGAAATGAATTTAGTTATTTTTTTCCTTTTTAAATGTCTTGACAAGATCTTAGTGTGAATCATTACGGTCAGAACAGAAAGAATTCAGATTTAAAAGTGCTTTTCAAGTCTTCTCAAGTCACAGGCCTCAAGTCCCAAGTCACTGACCTTCAAGTCCAAGTTGAGTCCCAAGTCTTAGACCATTTTACTTGTAAAATAACTCTCCAAAACAGGTCAAATGTGCTTGATGTCTTTTATAGCAGCTTGATTTCAACATATTCTCTGTTTTGGTTTTTACTCATCTTGTCTTACTGCTTGTCACTTTCTCTGTCAGTGGGCTGTATACAGTCTAGGACTAAAGAGATTTGGACTAATTTATCTCTTAAGAGGATTTTTTTAAAGCATTAGTTCTGAATTAAAGGTGGATTAGCTGATGTATTGCTTTGACAATAACACAGCCTACTTCATATTCATATTGCGACTGGAGTGGACCCTGTGCATCAAGTGTCTTGCCCAAAGACACAAAGACAGTAGGTGCCAAGTCAGAGCAGGAATCAGATACTCAGCCCTGTTAGTATGGGCAACTTATCTTCTCTGTTTAACCTCCTTTTTCAGTCCTCCTGCCTGTGCACTGAAATGGAGAGAACAGTGTAGAATCCGAACAGCCGCCAAAATTCCCTAAAAGTATTTCCAGTTGAAAGCCCCAGCTAAGACATTGATCATGATTGTTCATGGGTTTTTGCTTTCTGTTACATGCAACATTTTGGGGAGTTTTGGCTACAGCAACAGTAACAGTCCTAATTTTGAATCCTTCTGAAACCCACAGACACTTCATTTATTACTCTTATCCAGACCCTTTCTTTTTTTGTACAAACTGCAGTCTTTTTTCTTACAACTGTAACACATCATTACAGAGGTTTTTTGTTTGAAGGTGAATGGTTTGATGTCAGTAAAAAGGAAGCCTATAAAATTTACCTGGCCCATAGGAAATGCCAGTGTTGTGGACTAAAATTACTTTGGTAGAAGTGCAATGTGGACTTGCTTCTGCTAACTTACATCTATGTGCATCTGGATTTAGTGATTAATGGAAAAACAGCAGTCTATTCACAAAACAGACGGTGCAGGTGTGAGTGTGCACACTTCTGGGAGCACGTTCTCTTTTGCTTAGATTTGAAACTCACACGGAAACAGGCGCCAAACTCGTGTCTGACCATGACCCATGGTGAGAACATGGGAACGTTAAAGGAAAAAAGCCAAAAAAAGAGAAACTTAAAATAATAAAGTCAAAAGTGTGACTGTTAAATCTGCAAATAGCATGGAAACTTGCCCAACTGAGGTCGACCGTTGGAGAGAGCAAATTTGTATAGAATTTACAGTAAATTTTTTTTTAAATGCGTAGCCTATAGGTGCCTTTTACTCCTGTAAACCTACTGTTGTGTTCAGAATAAAATAATTGCATTTTTATTCATTGTTGTACAGCCCTTAGTACATCCAAGTATTTTTTAACACAGGGTGCTGTGAAGTTTTTTTTTTTTTTTTTTTTTTTTACCTTAGCCTATAGGCCTATTTAAAATACATTTTAAATATAAAGAGATAGATTGAAATTGAACATTTTATTGACATATACACTTTAATATAGTAAATACAATTAAGTCTCCATCTCGCCACTTCCCACGGCCATAGGCTGGTTTGGTGATATTCTTGTTGAACATACATAACACGGCAGTTCAGAGATAACAACCACACCCTTTTCATCAGACGCACATGACATGAGAGACAGACACTCATAGATGGAACCTTTAACATGGTGCCAACTCTTCCTCAGGCCGTATACGAAAGACACAGTGTGGAGTCAGTGGCTGTGGCAGACATGGTAAATGGTCACATTTTTCTATAGCGCTTTTCCACCTTCAAGGCACTCAAAGCTCTTTACAACAAGGAACCACTCACACATTCACACACACATTCACAGACACTGTGGGCAAGGTGGGTTAAATGTCTTGCCCAAGGACACAATGACAACATTCATCTGTGGGAGCTGGAATCACATCAGCCAACCTGTGGGTCAGTGGATCTGACCCCTCAACCTGTGATGTTTTATGTTGAGAACCACCAACCTTCAGATCAGTGGGCAAATGCTCTACCAACTGAGCTACTGCCGCCCCACATATAAATACTCAATTAATATGTCTTTACACATATCAGGCGCACCGGCTCCGCTTTATAGTTCTGCGTCCGAACACGCACACTACCTCCATCATTTTTGATTTATGGATCTGCGCAGCGAAGTAATTCACCGCCACAACATTAGAGGGCGCCGAGTCGCGAAATGGCACGAACTCGTTGGTGGAGTGTTTACTTTCCGGTTACCTTGGAGACACTGGTCATTTAACAATGGCGACTGAGCGGGAGAGGACGCTGATTGAGCTGGAGCTGATAGATATCGAGGAAGAAATACTTCTGTTACAAATGTTGGCAAAGAAACGAAAGAGAAGACGCAGAAGGTGGGCTGTACGCCCTTTGAATGAGTCAAGGCAAACTACTGGAGAATTTTCCACACTCGTTCGACCACTGAAAGAAATGGACGATGAAATGCACTTCAAGTATTTCAGGATGTCAGCAGGTCGGTTTGATGATCTTGTTCGTCGTCTGCAACCTCTCGTCCACCACCAGACAACACACAGTTTGCCTATTGATTTACGGCAAAGGCTGGCAGTGGCGCTGCGAATTTTGGCTTCAGGTGCAAACCAACAGACTGTAGCGGCAGACTACAAGCTCGCTTCTTGCACGGCGTCATCCATACTGTCAGAGGTCTGCAAAGCGTTGTGGACGGCACTGCAGCCAGAATTTCTGCCCTGCCCGACAACAAGCCTGTGGGAAAACATTGCAGTGGATTTCTGGAAACTGTGGAACTTTCCAAACTGTGTGGGAAGTATCGATGGGAGGCATGTAAACATCAAGGCACCGCCGCGTGCAGGGAGCGACTACCTGAATTACAAGGGTTCGCACTCTATTGTTTTGACGGCTTTGTGCGATGCCCGGTATCGCTTCACAATGGTGGACATGGGAGCTTACGGACGGGAGAGCGATGGCGGCGTTTTCAAGGAGAGCAGATTTGGGTCCATGCTGCTCGACCACAAGCTAAACCTGCCCCCACCAGCTGACCTTCCCGGGACCGCGGTCAAGATCCCTCATGTTGTTATTGGTGATGCTACCTTCCCTCTGCACTGCAACCTCATGTGCCCCTTTCCAGGTATGTGACCGCTTCAGCGATATAAACAAAAACTATGTTTTTCCACACAACTTCTATGTTAAGAAAGATATGCAATGTTAAAATGGAAGTCGTGTGAGAACAGCTATTGAACTCGAAATGGCCTATAGATCGTATTAATTAGACACTTAGTACTGGATAATTTGTTATAGCTGTGATTGCAGTGTAATAACATTATTTATTTTGGATCAACGCAGGAGTGAATCTGACGCAAGATGAGGAGATCTACAATTACCGCCACTCTAGAGCCAGACAGGTCACTGACAACACCTTTGGCATCATGGCTGCAAGGTGGAGAATTCTTGGAAGGCCAATTGAGTTTCTGCCTGACAAGGTCGTGGATGTGGTGAAGGCTTGTGTGGTGCTGCACAACTACCTTGCCTACACAGACGAGGTGACCAGCCCAGAATACATACCACCCACCTTTGCGGACTTGGACAGAGCTGGGTCTGTGACGCTTGGTGAGTGGCGAAGAGAAGTTACAGGGGACTCAAACTTTGTGGACCCTATTGATAGTTCCCAAATGACAAGAGCCCGCCCCACCAGTGCTGCCATAGCTGTTAGAAATGATCTCAAGTTTTTCTTTCAGACAGAACATGGTTCTGTACCACGGCAGAACAAGACGGTTTCTTATGGTAAACTTGAACAGTGATGTGATGGCCCACAGAAATGACTGTCCGGACTTTCGCCTTATGTTAAAGAAATAAAAACCCAATTGTTTCCAAACTGTTTTATTTTATTGTCCAATGTGTCATAGCAAAGAAGCTGCAACATGTAAACATACAAATATTGCACCGCAAAATTGAGTAAATACAGCATTAGCCAACAACAATAATTAATCAAATAAACAAACAAACAAAAAAAAAAACAAATATTAACAACTTTCAAGCAAGTCAGTGAATTGTATCAATGTTAGTTAGTGATTTCATTCCCTGTTTTCATGGAGTTTGGTGAGGATTTCGAACATGAGATCGGCCCTCCTGGCCTCCGGCACCCTCCTCATCATGTCCGCAACCGTTGCCCCAAACCTGGAGCACTCATCGCTGTCATTCGCCAGTCTCTGTTGCAGCTCTTGCCGACGTTCATTAAGTCGGTCCAAGTGCTTCCTGACCGGCACATCACTGAGGTCCATGCGCTTCCGTTTGTTTGGTTTGGCTGGCGCAGGAGAAGCAGGTGAGGCGGGGGCTAGGGGTGATGGCGGCATAAACTCCGTGTCACGATGTTTCACGTGTGGCTCCAGCCAGGACATGAAGGTATAGAACACAGGGACCTTTTTCCCACCTGGATCCCCGCTCCCGGATCCAATTTTTCTGCGATAGCGGACAAATTTGTCCCGCAGGTTCTTCCACCTCTTCATACATTCAACAGAGTCCACCCCGAGGTTTAAGCCGATCTCCCTCCATGAATGATTTGACATTTGGCTGTCTTTGTAGCTTTTGGAAGAGGAATTGTAGAGGTGATCATATTTTCTCACTTCTTCGATCAAACGTACCTCTAGTTCATCCATTATCTTTAGAGGAGGATTTAAAAATGGTGTTCGTGTAAACAAAATGAAGCGGGAAAGCAGAGTACCGGAAATGTATGTCGAGCGGTGGTACAGAGGACCAATCACTGCCCTTATTGTCTGCGTCCCTTTCCCTTGCTGTCTGCGTCGTTTCGAAGCGTAGTTACAACATAGAACGATATTATACATCCATGAGTTACAACATTTCGGAGGAGCACGTCAGTCGCCTACAGTTCCACGGTCGGTCGACGCAGACACTCTGCGGAGGGGGGTTCGGGTAGACGCAGACTGTCTGCGTCACGACGCAGACGATTTGACGCATGAAGTTGAACTACCAAAATAAGACACACAGGAGCAGCGCGCACCTCCGGTTTTCAAAAATAAAAACGTAAAAATTATAAAATTCACATATAAATTATAGTCAAACATAAAATACAACCAGGAAATAGTAATAAATGCATTTTACAGACTAAACTCTAAAACTCTAAGATCACGTGACAGTGGTAGAAAATAATTTACAGTTTAATTGAACTGCCAAAAATCAAAAGGGCAGATATGTTCACTAAAAATCTAACTAGCAAGGGATCTGAAACACAGATCTGCAAACATGTTTAACACTCTGTCTGGAATAACATCTTGACGTGACATTCTGAAGTCTGTCCACAGGCTTAACCAAACGACCAAATCTAGTTCGTACTTGGGACTGATCAACAGAGGCAGTCGCATTCTGGACAACAGTGGACTCAGCCTGAGCACTTCCACTATCAAAACTAGAGCCATACAGTCAGTCTGGCTCTAGTGGCAGAACTGGGACCAGTCACACGTCTAGAGTCGCAGTCCGGTTGGCTCGGGCTGTACTCAGGGGACAGGTCGGTGTCATAGGGAGACAACAATCACATTGTCAAAGTCGAGTCTGTAACCCTCTCTACAGTTCACTCTCAGAGCCAAACGACTCAGAGGGTCTCGGACAGGCTCGCGTTCACTTTCACAAACTGACAGCATCCGGCATCTTCTTCATGGTCAAAGGCACTCCATATTTGCAGCTTATGGTACAGCCATAGCATGGATCTATTAAAAAAACACATGGAGCCATAGACTGTGTGCGTACATCAGACATGTAGCGCTACTTGCTGGAGAGCTGGTGGATCTACCCTACACCACCAGTGTATATTTGTATTTTAATCAAAACACCACGCCTACTTTGAAATATTAGCCTAGAGGAGTAAAGCGTAAATGTACAACCAGAACTTATAGGTAAAACAATAATAAAATAGGCCTAGTCCACAGGACAGTAAATGGTGAATGTGGAATACACTTGTGTGTGCACAGACTCAAATAATAATTGTCCAAATGTTAGTTCTCAATAAGGCTAAGGAGAGGTCACTGTCCTTGCAGAAACAATAAAATGCATTAGAACAGACCATAAAGCAAGAAATATTGTAGCTGTAAATGCTACAATACACAAGAGGGCGCAATCGAGTCAATAATGAATTACTCAGGCATCATATGCCCAAACTTGCAAGAACGAGAGGAGATAGAAAGATCATATTATATATATATATATATATATATATATATATATATATATATATATATATATATATATATATATATATATATATATATATATATATAACAATAGCAGACGTTGAGGACAGTTACAAGTACCTTGGTATCCCACAAGCAAATGGCAACAAGGAAAGCGGCTACGGCCAAATACCTGCAAAGAGTGAGGCAAGTCCTTAGAAACCAGCTCAATGGCAAGAACAAGGTGCAGGCAATCAACAGCTACGCCCTGCCAGTGATCAGATACCCTGCAGGGATTGTAAGCTGGCCAAAGGAGGAGATACAGACCACAGATGTTAAGACACGAAAGCTCCTGACCATGCATGGAGGATTCCATCCCAAATCCAGCACCCTGAGACTGTACGCAGGAAGGAGGCCGGGGACTAGTGAGTGTGGGAACCACTGTCCAGGATGAAACATCCAAGCTCCTTGAGTACATCAAGGACAAGGCCCCGGCAGATGAGGTGCTCAGAGAATGTCTCAGACAGTGGGGTCCAGAGGAAGAGGTGCTGGAGGGACCATCATGGCAGGACAAACCCCTACATGGGGCGTACCACCGGAGCATAACTGAAGTGGCTGATATCAAGAAATCCTACCAATGGCTTGAGAGGGCTGGTCTGAAGGACAGCACAGAGGCACTGATCCTGGCTGCTCAGGAGCAGGCCCTGGGCACTCGAGCAATAGAGGCCCAGATCTACCACACCAGACAAGACCCACGGTGTAGACTGTGCAAAGAGGCTCCTGAGACAGTCCAGCACATAACTGCGGGGTGTAAGATGCTGGCAGGGAAAGCATACATGGAGCGACATAACCAAGTGGCGGGCATAGTGTACAGAAACATCTGTGCAGAGTACGGGCTGGAGACCCCAGGATCAAGGTGGGAAACACCTCCAAAGGTTGTGGAGAATGACCGAGCCAAGATCCTGTGGGACTTCCAGATACAGACTGACAGAATGGTGATGGCGAACCAACCAGACATAGTGGTGGTGGATAAGAAACAGAGCAGAGCCGTGGTGGTGGACATCGCAATACCAAGCGATGGCAATATCAGGAAAAAGGAACACGAGAAGCTAGAGAAATACCAGGGGCTCAAGGAAGAGCTGGAGAGAGCCTGGAAAGTAAAGGCATCAGTGGTGCCTGTGGTGATCGGAGCACTCGGGGCTGTAACCCCCAAACTGGAAGAGTGGCTACAACAGATACCGGGAAAAACAACGGACATCTCAGTCCAGAAAAGTGCAGTACTGGGAACAGCAAAGATACTGCGCAGAACTCTCAAGCTCCCAGGCCTCTGGTAGAGGACCCGAGCTGAATGAGGGTGAGAGAGACCTACCACCGTGGAAGGTGAGAAACACATTTATATATATATATATATATATTATATATATATATATATATATATATATATATATATATATATATATATATATATATATATATATATATATATATATATATATATATAGTCTTCTTTACATGAAACTAGTGGAAAGTTCTGAAGCCCTTTCATTTTGAATACCACGATCACATTTGCAGTGTAATAAGTAACCACTTCTCCTCTGTCACTCATTGACACACTGCAGGGGGTGACCAACACATGACTAAACCACGTGTTCACACATAAGCCACAGTACACCAGACACACATCAGTTGGATCAATTAACTAAACTGCAAGATAATCAAAATCTAATAACTTTTAAAATGGACCAGATTCTGTGTAGCCCATGTTTAAGGTTTATGAGTATACTCTAAAGGACCACTATTGCACAAAATTTACTCTTGTAAGCATCATGCTAAATGTTGTTTCCTCATTAAAACAAACCAGGAGTTGTGGTTTGTTTCATTCACACATGTTTGAATAACCCTGAGTTGTCTACATCTCAAAATGCTCTTTTCCAGCACGTGATGTCATGAAGTAGTTTTTTCTACAGCTGCCTTTTTCTAACAGCTACCTTTTCCCTTTTGCTAATTAGAGATCGGCAATTCCAGAGCTGAAATCATTCAAATGATTCTAGTGAAAGTGTATGGAGTTTAAAAACAAAGGGGAGCACTTCCTGTATTACCACATGACATCACAAGGTGGAACAGAGTGGAGTGTTTTCAGTTTTGAGACAAAACATCTATGTGTTAAACAGGTGTAAATGAAACAAAACACAAGTCCAAGTATGATTTGAAGAGAAAACAGCATGATAACATACACCAAATAACGGGTCCCTTAAGTATTGCACTTTCATCCTAAAGAAATCAAAGCATTTTTGTATTGAAAGCAAAATAGTCATTAGAGGATCAAGTGAACAGGCTTGAATAATGATTTCACTCTGTGATTAATAATTTTTTATATTGATTCCTTAATCAGATCTCCTGTAGTTATAGGCCCCTTCCCTCCATCAGAAATTTTGACATCTTTCATTTCTACAGTGTGAGCACACCCATGGTTATTTCTGTTGTTACATTTTCTCCATTTCTGCAGCATAACCAGCTAATCTGACAAATTCACTGTCAAGGTGTCTCTCTCAAATATGATTACTGCACAAACGTGATGTGATATGAATGTAATACGCCATCTGCTTTGGTGAGTTTCTTCCAATCATGGGATATGAACTTTAATAATAATCACTCATCAGAGTTAATAAAAATTAAAAGTTAATAATAATAATTTTAAAAATCTAATGACACAGGATATCTTAACAATACTAAATTCAAGTTATCTACCAAGCAGCTTGTGCAAAGGAGAGGCTCAGGTCCTGTGAGGATTTAAAACAGCACTGTGGTGATTTACTTCTCCAGACGAGCTTGAATGAGATATTGTAACACTTACAGGGTCTACAGGTAAACTTTAATAACAAAGCAAACAAAGTTAAAGTTGATTGATATGGAAGAGATGAAGATGCCACTGCAGCGGTTAGGCTCGACCCTAAAGTTGGGGTGAAGGAGACATGCTACAAGTGCAAAAGAAACAAGATTACCACAAAGAAAACTGTTACACAACTGAAAACAGCCAATTACAAATCGAACCACCACCAGCAACTAAATAAGATCACCCTCCACACCCAGCTATCTACAGCCTACACCCACTGCAGAACTACAATGTATATGTAATAATATAATTCATATTCAAAAACTCATAAAACGGATACCAGAACTGAGTCTCCACAATCTGGGCTGTTAAGTTAGGACCCAAAAATAACTGTGTTGGGCCTGCTCAGGGAGAAGAAGTAAGCTTGTGCACCTCTGACTTTTATGGTCATGATCAGCTACCTTGCCATGATATTTTTCAGTTAATAGTGATTTTCCCAGCAATGGTGAGAAAACATTCTTGAGAGGCCGATTTCACTTACCATGGAATTTAAAAGTGCAGTACTTGTCATATGTGGAAATGTACTGGAATACTACTTACAGTATATATGGCAGGATTTTTTTTCTAGAATGTGTCCCTCTTTTGATCGTTCTGCACCCTGGTCCTTTGTCCTTTATTTTTAGACAATATCCCACTTTTTCATTGATGCTATATGAATTGCATAAAAAGTGAACTTTATATAGAAAACATAAAACCATATATATTTTCCTTGCATTATATCAAGGTCTTTTGGTTGTAATGGCTTTCAGGGTTGTAATAAGTTTGCTGTATTCCTATTTCAGTCTCTCTCTGTGTTATGATTGATAAAAAACTGAAAATCAGATGTTGTTACTGCAGTTATTTATAAGTATT